TTGCATTACCTTTGCAAAGATTTTCATATAAGGCGTGACAGACTTGGAAGCTGGACTCATCTATCTCTCTTGTGTAATAAGTTATCCAGTAACAATAAAGTCTACTCGTTTCTCTTTGTGAAATCTCTTGCTCTCAGCATAGAAAGTATGCTGGGAATATTACAGTATCCCTATCAGATTTTCCAGATAGATTTATTCAGAATTTGCATATTGGATGCTTAGGTGATGGAAATAGTTAAGCCCCAAGCTGATTTAATTAATTTTTCATAGCATTGGTGACTATGGCACAGAGACACTGAGATCCTTAGAACTTTATCCATGCTATTTAACACCTTCATCTGTGCTTTAGTGGCTAAAAATACCCCCTGCCCTCTTTTAGTGCTACTATTTCAGAATGGTAAATTAAATAAGCATAAGATGGCAACTATGAGTTGGATTTTCTGTGTTTCTTCACTGCCATCTAGTGATCTTTCTTTATCTTTCCAAGTCAGTAGTTGTATTTGCTGTGCCATAACAGTGCAAGAAGCATAACTAGAAAATCTGGGGTGGAAAAGCAGCAGTAAATATTTACAGCAAAGATAGTAAATAAATTCTTAGTCAAGATCTGATCCAGAGTTTAAGGAATATTGTTTTGTTTATAAAACAGAGCATTAGACAATGATTGTACCAATGTTCTGGCAGATATCAAATTATCTGGATGATCAAAGTAGAAATGCATCTCAAGAAATAACAGTTTCAGTTATACTTTTAGAAATATTATGTCAGTACCTTGTGAGCCCTTTATCCCAGAAACTCCCACCCTCTGTTCAAAGACAGTCAGTACTGCTTCAGTTGAATTGAGATTATAAAGCAAGTATAGAAGCACAACCCATTCAGAGTAACTCTTATTTCTAGGTAGACAAAGTACTTTTCCCAGAAATCTGATGTTTCATTTTTCTGCTCCCAACTTTAAGGAGGTAGTGATATCTTAGACACTGTGACTCTGTCCTTGCTTTGGAAAATTACTTCAAGGTTGCAAAGCTGGTGGCAGTAAAAAAAAAATGATTTTAGTAAGCTTAAGGCAGGGGTCAACAACCTGCGGCTCTGGAGCCACATGTGGCTCTTTCATCCCTCTGCTGTGGCTCCCTGTCGCTAGTCAGCTCCACAATTGATAGGGCTTTCAGTTAGGACAGGTAGAGGAAAAGGGCTGCCATGCTAGGAGGAGACTCTATGGTGGGGAAACCAGACTTCCAGTTGGCTCCAGAATTGAAGGAGGGGCTTCTGGTTAGGACCTTTGTGGCTCTTTGAGTGATTAAGGTTGCCAACCCCTGGCTTAAGGCATATCTGGGCTTCAGAATCCAGACAATAAATTTATACTATTGCATATATAGGATTTTTTTTATCTCTTTGCTCTAATGTCATCTAGATTTTTAAAATCCAAATATGGGACTCCTAAGGCTACAAACAAGACCATAACCCTTTGGGAGTGATCTCATTAGAAATTTTCTTCCAAGCAAGTTAAAATTCTACATAAAGAAACAACCATCATTTAAAAAAAAAACTAAATAAATAGGAATATCTGCATCCATGGAAACAAAGGAACAATAGTATTTAAAATATTCTCATTACTTTCAGGTAAAAAGTAATGGTACCAGAAATGTTATGGAAAGGAATTTCCATTACTAGAAACACTTATATAATCACTTACTAATATCTCACATAGTGCGAAAGCAAAGCATTACTTCACTTCATTGTATGGATTCATCCCTACAGAAACCTATAAAGTACAGATGGGGGAACAACTTGTATCCTCGAAGAGCCCTTAGCTGCGAAAGGTGCAGCTTGAAAAACTGTGGGAATGTCTAGCCGCTTTTCTCTCTAGTCAAACAACTGGTAGGGAACTTACTATTATTTTCCCTTTGCTCTTAGCAATAGAAAATTGCTTTTCTGTTTCCCACCAGGCATGGATCATGTTGATCAATTGCCCTGTGAAAGTAGATGCATCATTTTCTGCTGCCAATGCTAGAGAAAACAGCTTTCCTGAGGAGAACTGCTTGTGGGTAGGGATGAGGGATATACTTTCCACACACTCGCTCAAAATTACTACAAGGAAACGGAATTGTGCTTCCATTCTCCTTCTCAATACCAGCATTATTCCTGTTACAGAAACCCAAGGATGTTGTAAGTTGGAAATAACAACATCTCATGGGCATAGGGAGTGTGGTGAGAGAGGGATACACATGTAGTACATAAAAATGGGGACATATCAATATTAGCCCTCTATTCAAATGCAAAATGAGAACCGGGACTGAAATAATATCAGAAATCAATATACATTATCCTTTTCTAGTTAGTTTGCTCACAACCACATTTTGAAAAGGCCCAGTTTTTATAGACAAAAGGCATGATGATGTAGAACATTAATAACCTAATTTGAATATGATTCAGTCATGTGTGATTATAGCTCAATTTAATGTTTCTTGGAAAGGCAGCAACAAACATACAAACAAATTTCCAGTTCACCACCAGGACGTCCTAAGTTGCAATCCTGATCAAGATCTCTGGTCAAAGATCTATCTACTGTATGCAACATTTTGTTTCTCATTTAAAATTCTAGTCAAGGTCAATCTTATTCAAAGCAAATGGAAGACAAAATAATATAATACCTATTCTATTCATAAGCTACTCAATTATTTTGTTTAGTATTGATTCTACATATTTATTTAGGACTTCCTAACTGTTTAATATCCAACAGAAAAGGCAGTGCCGAAAGTCACTTATTAGAAAAAAGGAAATACCCATTTATGTTTTCACCAATTACTTCTAAAAGTTGTTAAATAATATGATACACCAGATGAATCTGTGGGACTCCATGGCCTTTAGCTGTTCCTAAGCATACCCTTCAGAAGATTAACCACAAGGAAGAAAAGTAGAACCACCTAAAATAGTAGGTCAAAATCTAATTTTTAAAAGTGTTTCTTGAAAAATCAATTGTATTGAAAATTGTTCAGTTCTCAAAAACCAGTAGCCAATGAAATAGTTATCTGTGCAGTAGATAGATTAGTCTCCAGATTAGCCATCTGTAATGAATGGAACTAATGAATATCATTCAGAGCCAAGGTGGCACAGTGTTTAAATGCAGCACTGCAGGCTACTTCAGCTGGCTGCAGTTCTGCAGTTCAGCTGTTCAAATCTCACCGGCTC